TATATCTGGTCTTTGTGTCCCCAGCATCTTTCCAGCCTGCTGCCCGGGTCCTGGTAGGGAAAACCAGCCCCAACAATATGTAATTGAGCGGGTATGGCAGAATCCTTTGCATCTATTTGTGGACACTGAAATTGGAAATTCACATTACTTCACATGACACGTAGAAGATTCTCCTCTTGATTTCCCCCCCAACTGTTTAAAACTGCTAAAGCCGATTTTAGCTTGCAGGTATGTAAAATTGTGTGGCAGACAGTGGTTTGCATACCTGTGTAAAAGTTAGGTTTCCACTGGGAGGAGGCCAGCACAGAGGTACCCATCAGGAAGGCTGACCTGCTGGGGAAGACGTGAGGTCCAGACCTTCCTTCCTGAGAAGGGTGGTTTTGAACCGGGCAGCCAGGAGTAGCAGCCCCTCCTTTTGTAATTATTACCCACTCCTCCCCAGAGTGACATCGGGGCCCTGGGAAGGGCTGGAACAGAGAGCAGAGTCAGACAGGGAGTGGACACGGCCCTCCTTCCTCCACGGGAGGCTGCGCATCCCCTTCTGGCCAGAGTAGCACAGATATCCAGGTCAGCATCGGGGGGCAGTGACAAGGCGGAGGAGGGGTTTGGGAAGCTGGATGGAGGTACCAGACTTCCCTTGTTAGTTTTTATTGTCAACCAACACAACCTAGAGCCACCGGGGAAGAGGGCACCTCAGCTGAAGAATTTCCTGAATCAGACTGGCTGTGTCTGTGAGAGATTGTCTTAGCTGATCACTGATGTGGGAAGACCCAGCCCTCTGTGGGCAGCACCGTCCTTATGCAGCAGAGCATAAGCCAAAGAGCCAGCCAATGGGCAGTTTTCTTCCATGTTCCTGCTTCAGTTCCTGCCCTGACTTCCCTCAGTGATGGACTGGGACCTGGAGAATAGAAACTGAAGGAAACCCTTTCCTCCTTAAAGAGCTTTTGGTCAGAGTATTTTCCCACAGCAACAGAAAAGCAAACCCTGCCTCATTGGACAGCAATGGACAAGGGCAGGGCGATAGTTACAGCATGGTAAACTGAGGCAGTATTAAGCCCCAAAAGTACCATAGCAGATTAGAAGCCGTACGCTGGGGGACACAGGTGTCGGTGCGTGCAGGGAGAAACAAAGCAGGTTGAAGGCTGATGGTGTCCTCAGGCATCTCTCTGAGCAGGTGCTGTGTGCCCAAGTCATAAGTGAGGGCAGGTAGGGAGCTGGCCGGTGGTGAGGGCAGGTAGGGAGCTGGCCAGCAGAAGAGACCAGAGCTGCAAAAGTGTGCACTTGCTTGCTACTGCGAGCAAGGGTAAAGGTGGAGCAGAAGGAGGAGGAGAGAGAGAGAGGCTGGGGTCATTCCGGGCCTTGCAGTCTTCCAGCACGGAGAAGAGCTCCTGACCTGCGGGAATTCCAAGTCACTCACGCTGGCAGGGGAGGGGTGATGTTGGGGCAGGGAAGCGTGAACGGAGCTTGGTCATGTTGCTGGGCCCGTGGTTGCTTTCTCGGTCCTTTTCTCTCCCCCCCACCCCCATGCCGACCAGTCCTGCTCACCAGGACCCTCGCTCTGTTGCCTCTGCTAAGTCTTACCATCTGTAGCTCCTTTCTGTGGCTGGTGCCAAACTTGCGTCTGACAAGTGATAGGAAACTTGGAGAAGTACCTCTGGTGGGTGTGAGCTCCGTGCCAGGCTTGCGGCTTGCGGCTCTCCACGCAGGGGACCCATATGGGTTGCCATGGGGCTGTAAAGCAGGGTGTCATTCCTGTCCTCCTCCGCATTCCCAGAAGAGGTGGACAGGGACTTAGCAGCAGAGAGGACATTACAGTTCTTCTTGACTCTGGGAGCAACTGCTGTGGGTATCTGGAGCCCCATCTTTAGATTCAGGGATGGATCGGAAGATAGATAGATGTGCAGGGTAGTCTGTGCTTTCCAGTCCCAATCTGGGGTATGATCCGGGTCACCCATGTGCCTTGGCTGTTAGAAGACAGTGGGCTGTGGTGAATTCAGTATGTGGCTTGCAGCTGTCAGCTGGTGATCCTGTGATGGCCGTCCTCATATGGATACCGTACAAATGTCATGGTCATTAACTGGGCCAGAGCAATCAGAGCCCTGGTTGGTCAGAGGAGGCCCTTGCAGCTAGACCACAAGGCTTCCCCCAGCATATGGCTTTTTTCCCCCTAAGCAGGCAGGAAGGATCCAGTCACTCATTTCTTTCTAATGTTTCCTGAGCATGAACATTTATTCCACCCAGTGGCACCCTAGACCCCAGGACTAGCAGGGAGAAAGCTCTCCTGCAGTGTTGCTAATGTGTTCTGGAGGACCGCAGGGACAAGGGTCCTGTGAGCTTCCAAGGATTCTTCTAGAAGTGCAGGGAAGTGCTGAGGGGCCATCCAGAAGGGCTAGGTGTGCATGAGTGTAGAGAGAAGGCAGTGTACTTGCCATCCACGGGGCGGGAGGGCGTGAGAAGAGGGGCTCCAGTCTGGGAAATCTGAGGGTCACTGGCGTGTGACAGATAGGCAGTTGGATGTTCTTTTCTGGGCTCAGCTATGTTCTCCATAAGGCAGACAGACAGCCTGGCAAGGTGGGGCAGGGCTCCATGATTGGGAAAGTGTGAAGAAAGGTAGGAATGGGGCTGGGGAGTGGCCCCATGGGGACACAATTGCCTAGTGTATGCCAAGTGATGGCTTCCATCCCCAGCACTGGCAGCAAAATTTTAAAAGTTGAAAGAGGTGTATGAACGTTGTAGGCCTGTGTGCATATGTATGTGTGCGTATGCATATGTGCCCCCCACCGTGTGTGTGTGTGTGTGTGTGTGTGTGCACATGTGTGTGTGTGCACATGTGTGTGTGTATGTGTGCATACTATGGTGGTAGAGAAGGATCAGAATGCAGCACCCAGTCCTGGTAGGATGAGGGGTCCGAGTTCAGGGAATAGGAATCGCTTACTGGCACGTGAGAGTCTGGAAAAGGGGCTGACGAGATGGCTCAGCCATTAAGAGTATGTACTGCTCTTGCAGAGGACTGGAGTTTGATTCTCAGCACCCACAACAGGTGGTTCACAGCTGCCTGTACCGGGGATCTGATACCTCTTGCTCCTGTGGTCACCTGCACTTAAGCACACACACACACACACACACACACACACACACACACACACACACACACACAATGGGACAGGCCATGGGCTGGACCCATTCAGGGTTGAAGAGGTAGGGAGAAGGGGGATCATGCATTTGAGGGGTGCTGATGAGGAAGAATAAGTGGGGAGGACACAGAGGAGAGGGTTGGGACTGCAAGTGAGGGGCCCACTCGGGTGGAGGCCAGTGGGCTTTGGGCGGTGGAAGGGGCAGTGATCTAGAAAGCAGAGGGGACAAGTGCCTTGATCTTGCAGGGTCAGTGGCTGTTGGTACTAAGACGGCACAGAGCTTGAGTAGAAGCCATGGCTTCTGGAAGTGTGCTTGGGTGTCCGAAGGATGGTCTTACACAGACGCACAGGACTCACACGACCGTGGCGGGAGAGTCTCCCAGTGATGCAGTGTGTGTGTGTGTGTGTGTGTGTGTGTGTGTGTGTGTGTGTGTGTGTGTGTGTGTGTAGCAGTAGATGGAGGGACAAGTAGCCAGGGTGAGGCAGACTCAAGGACTGGACGCAGCTCCAGGACACTACTCACCCCACCCGGCCTGACTCCTCAGGCCAAGGATGGAAGACAGCTGCCCTGGAGGGGCTGTAAGAGGGGCTGCCTTATGGGTAAGCCAGGCTCCATCAGCCTAGGACAGCCTAGGAACATATGGGGAAAACGCTGAGGAAAGGGGAGCCCACTTGCTGTCTAGTGGTTCTCCCCCTTTTTTGAGGCTTGCTAAACTTCCTTAGGATCCAGGCTGGACACGGCGGGCCCATTCCTCCGATGGAGAATGAGCTCCCTTAGGATCCAGGCTGGACATGGCGGGGTTCATTCCTCCAATGGAGAATGAGCTCCTTTAGGATCCAGGCTAGACACGGCAGGTCCATTCCTCTGATGGAGAATGAGCTCCCTTAGGATCCAGCCTTCACACAGTTTCTCTCTCTACTGGCAGTGCCTGTCCCTCCTGTCCCCCTCTGGAGTCACCCCCGCTGGCTCAGCACCCCCTCCTGCAGGAAGCCTCCCAGACCACACCAACCAGACGTGTTTCTGTTCCTCTGAAGGCCCTTGCCGCTGCCCTCCCGGTATCTGGCCCTCACTCAGTTGTTTTTTTTCTTCTGGTTACACTGTATTTGCATGTCTAGACTTCCTTCAGGGGACCGTCCTGAAAGGACAGGCTGGAGCTGGAACATGGCACCCTGTTGTCTAGCTGTGTGCTGTTGAGTCAGACCTCCCGGGACCTCAGTTACTCTATCTGAAAATGCAGACTTGGTGGGACCCTGAGTTCTCAGATGAACCCTATACAAGTCCAATCAGCATGAAGACCTGCTCCCTGCCCTTGCATCTTTTCCAGGGGCCCCACCAAACACCTCCACATGGTGACTCTCATTTGCTGAATTCAGAGATCGTGGCAAAACTTTTCTGTGGTATCTTAAAAAAAAAAAAATTGAGAGGTTGAAATAGAGCGTCAGATTCTCCAGCTAGCTGTAAAAATAGTTCGCATATGGCCATGAAAAGCAAAAAAATCACACGCGTCCACTATGCCAGGACTAGGTTTTCAGCATCAATTAACAAAAAAGATTTTTCATGCGGCCCTAAAAGAGGATGAATTGTGTATGAGACTTACTGCTTTACATTAAAAAGAGATTTTTTTAAAACTTACTAAGACCATTTACTGAGACAATTGCCTTGCAAACTCTCAATATATGCAAAATGTTCCTTTTTTTCCAAAGATGTCATTGTGCAATGTGTACTGCTGAGAATCTTTGAAAACATTTTATTTTACAAGAAGTAGTAAAAAAAATAAAGAAAAAAAGCGTCCACATATTTTGTTAGCATGCGAGTTTTCACCATTGGGCCTCTTGACTTTTCCAAAATCCCTCTTTATTACACAGATCTTCCGAAACATGAGGACCATAAAGAAGGCCTTCCAGCTCATCGATGTCAACAACACAGGCATGATGCAGTCCCAGGAGCTGAGACGGATCCTGGAAACATTCTGCTTGAAGATGAGGGATGAGGAGTACAAGATGTGAGTGGCCGGGCCAGAGAGGGTATGATGACCCTGCACCCGGGGCCAGGGTGAAAAGACAAAGGCAGGGTGCTGGGCCCCTCCCTCCCTCCCTCCCTCCCTCCCTCTTCATTCCCTCCCCCCCTCCCTCCCTCCCTCCCTCTTCATTTTGGACATTCCCCCAAGTCCCTGAGGCTGTGACTTCTCCAAAGTGGGACCTAGGGTCTCTTACTCCCTGAGTGGGCTTTCAGATCTGAACACAGGTCACTGACTTCCCTATCACCTCTCGCCACTCTTTCTTGCTTAGTGTCCCCATCCTGTATATTTCCAGTTCATAGTGAGCTTGACTCCAGGCCCGGGGCAAGGAGGAGAAGGGGTCACTGGAGAGATTGACTCATCTGTTGGTGTCCGGCATGGGCTCTGCCTCCTCATGTAATGGCTCAAACATCCTTTTCCTTTGAGGACATTGTTACCGGGGGCAGCAGGTTGTGACAGAGGATGGGGACTAACACAAAGCCATTTATCTGCTTCCTGGCACTTGCCAGATGCTGCCACCTGCTCTCGACTCACGCTACACCACAGCACTCGTGGTGTGGACTCGGGACCACGTAGAGGAGGCAGATGCTTGTCCCCTGCGCCATGTGAGTTCTGAGAGATTAGCGCTGCAGGAGGGCCCTGTGGCACTTCTTTCTGAAGAGCCCAGCTGAGAGGGTGCCCTCCTCCTGCCCTTTCCCAACCAGCCTCTTCTCTAAGCACAGCGGCTGCCCTGGGCCTTAGCTCTGCTTCCTGGGGTGCCAGTTACCCACAGTTCACTGGTCCGAAACTGCTCAGTAAAACAGTCCTAAAATAAATAGTTCGTGTGTTCTGTATACCGTCTATCACAGAGTATGCTGTCTTGTCCCCCTTTTAAAGGATCCCAGTGTGCTTCTAAATTAATAGGGGAAAACCTAATACATAACACACTAACAGACACATGTGTGTACATATGTAGATAGATGGTTTGGTGTCATGTGATTTCACGCACCCACTGGTGGACCTTGGCTCGTGTCCTAGTGACTCTGGGATGCCTGGACCATTCAGGCTGCTCCCAAAGCACCAATCCATTATGATTCCAGCAGAGGCTAAGAGTACATACAGCTTTGCTCTGGAGTTACAGGCTGCTGTTACGAGGGGTCACTGTGGCTTTTGTCGTATCTCCTAAAGACAAGGTCAGGGCTGCAGGCAGTAGAGGGGCTTTCTCCAGAGCAAGGTGGCACAGAGGACATGTGACTGTAGCTCTGATGGGGCTCACAACCAGAGACTTAAAAAAAAAAAATGGATCCTTCCCACTCTTGAATATGTTTCTTCTTTCTTCCTCTTTATAACCTACCTCAGAATATAAAAGGCATAATAGATGTTTTAATTTTTACATCCTTTCTGGCTGGGAAAGTGTCCAGAATAAGATCCAAACAAAACAAATTAAATAATTTTGTGCGTGCAATTACAGCGCGGAGGCAGGCCTCTTCTAAAACAGGCCGTCAGAAACAAAGCAGGTTTTTATTTGACAATAAACCTTGTGTTTGGCGCTGCAGTCTCCAACCTAGTAAATCTATAAAAAAAAGTTACTGCCTGTTTCCCCATCTCTTAAGTATTGAATAATAAAGAACTCCACAAATTTCTATTCGCGATTTCTTTCAAGCCCCAGAAACAATGCTGTTTTCACACCGTGGCCCGAACAATGTCCCACAATAGAATTGGTTCCCGTGGACCCACACAGAGGCTCAAAGGAGCTGGCTTCTGCAGGGCCTTCAGCGCCTTCCTTATCGAGGCCCCGGAAGACACTGTTACCCACGGCCGCTTTGATGTTGACTTTGCCCTTTGCAGCTTGGAGCAGGATGCACAGCGTGCTTTTAACGTTTTTTCTCTAGAGGCTTTCTTCTGTGTACCGTCTGCAGTTGGTGCTTGGTAGGAATGGCTAGGCTCTGAAGTCAAGGCTGTGCGTGACATTCCCTGATCCTGGGACACCGAGATGTTGCCAGGACTCAGTTTTCTGATAAAGAAATAGGTGTTGAGTGGGCTAGGGAAAGGGTTTGCCTTGCAGGTGTGAGGACCTGAGCTTGATCCCCAGAAACCACGTTAAAGAGAAGGAAAACAGTAGGATGTCGTGGCATGTGCTTGTAGACCCAGAGTGTGCGAGGTAGAAAAAAAACAGGTGTCTCTCTGGGGCTCACAGGCCAGCCAGCTTAGCCTGTGTTTGCGTTCCAGGCCTCTGAGAGATTCTGTTTCAGCCAACAAAAGAAAACAGCAAAAACAGGTGGATGGCACCTGAAGAGCAACAGATGAGGAGGCTGTCCTCTGGTCACCTTCCACCCACACACACACATACCCACCCCCACTCGCCAGCATGATCGTGCAAACACACATGCACTCGTACACATGCACACATGTGGGAAATGGGATAGGCACTGAGAAACCCACCACACAGCATGGGGATGAAGCCACGATGTAGCGTCTATGGCATGCCCGTGATAGGCTTGCATGTGGCAGGTGCTCATCTCGCTGGACAGTGTCACGATTGTGGCGACCCAGGATACTGTTACAACTTCTAGACAGTTGCTGTTCTCCTGCAGGACACCTCTCAGCCTATACAACACCCACGGCCAGAGATGAACTCCCCACCAGCTTCGTCAGCACTGTCCAGCATCCCACACACTGATTTTCCCTTCCTGGATCACTCCATCCCACATTCCATCTTTCTCCAGGCTCAAGTATTTGAATCTATGTGAAGTCATTTATGGGCAGCCCCGTAGTCAAGCAAACCACAGAAGGCCAGCCTGAGCCAGGATTGCCTAGAAGGGTTTTTTTTCCAGGTGGTGATGCTGGAAAGGCTTAAGGGCTCACTGGGGGTCCCCCTTCTCCCTAAATTCAGCCCCCAGGGAACCCCACTTGCCTGCTGCTTTCTGCAGGCTGTGCACCCATCTTGGCCTTGCCACCCAGAGTTTGAGTCTCTGGGATACTTATGTCTTAAGAACAATTTCATCCAAGTTCTCTCTTTGAAAACTTTTAGAAATATTTATTGTATGTGTGTGTGCACATGCATGTGGAAGCTAGAAGGCAGCCATGTTCTCTTGTATAAAATTAAAAGGACAAGCCTTAGTAATATACTTCCAGGGGCTCAGGAGAGAAACTACAAACAGCGAGAATTATTTTGGGGAAAAGAATCTAAGGACACCAAGCTCTTTGTCCATCTACTTTATTCCTCTGGGATAAGATCTACACAGCTTCAGTTCTGTTCTCGTGCCTAGCTCCTTTCTTGCCTGATTTCTCTCTACCTTTATCTACTATTCCCTCTAAGTTCTATCTTAATTCTCTCGTCTTAATTCTGCCTCATCTAGGTCCTTCTCACCTCGTTCTTACCCAGCTCGTACTTTCCCATCTGGCTCTTCTTCATCTTCCATCTCATCCACACATTCTCTCTGGTCAAAATCCTCCTTATCCCTCTCCGTTCTCCATCCTTGAGTTCTCCACTCCTTTATTCCTCTTCGTCTCCTTATACCTCTAAGTCCTCTCAAGTCTCTGAGGTGTTCAGTTTTAAACCCAAGCAATAGTGAGTCTCTGCCAGAGCAAGGTCACCAGGCTTGAATTCTTATGGCAGATAAGAATTTTCCTCAGGCAGTGACCATTGGGCTCTTAAAGAGGAGGTCAACTGAATGCCAATGACCAGTTAATATATCAAAAAGGGCATCTATGTGCTCAATCTACATTCCTAGAAATGGTTAGTTAAGAAGTTAGGGGTCTATTAGTAAGGTTGTATAATAAAGGAGGGTCTCACCCTAAATAGCACAAGAAATAAAGCTATCTCCTGACCTAGGAGACAGGTGTTATTTTTTTTTTTACCTTGGATGCTTGATAGGCATTTTAGATAAATACACTATTAGGAGTTCTTGGAAGCACACAAGAAAATCATCTTAGGAACCAGCTAATATATATACAAAAGCTAAAATATTACCAAGACTTCTTCAGCCATGACTTGACCTTTGGAGAAGTCCTTGACTTTTCTAAGTAGTAGCTTTTGTGATAGTAGCTGAATTCCATTACATTTTCCTGCGGCTAGCAGCAATGTTCGTTCCTTGGAAGCTGACCACCTTGCATTTCCAAGTGTAACTTCTCAGGGGGACCTGAGACTCCACTGACTAGGGTAGACTGGCTGGCCAGTGAGCCCCAAGGACTCACCTGTTTCTACCTCCCCAACTCTGGCATTATAGCACGTACCACCACACCCAGATGTTTTTTTTTTTTTTTTTTTTTTTTTTTTTTTTTTTTTTTTTTTTTTTTTTTTTTTTTTTTTTTTTTTTTTTAATATGGGTTCTGGGGATCAAACTCGTGTCCTCTTCTTGCACAGCATTGAACCATCTCCCCAGCTCTGTGAAAAGCCTTTGGAGACCCTGCTTTTCTGTTCAGTGCCAGGCTTCGTCTCTAAAGCCTTTTCTCCAGGGCACACTACCACGGGTTTCCATCTGTCCTCTGTGTGCAGGCAGTATGTCTCTGAGCACGGGATTCCAGGGACTTAACCCAAGCCAGCATTTCCCTGTAACCCAGCGTTGCCTGGATGCAGGGATGCTGCATTGCATGGAGGTCTGCAGTGCTGGGTGAGCCACTCACCAGGCTCCCCTGCCTCGCTAGAACAGCGTGCTGGCCAGCAGCCTCGAAGGACTTAGAAAGACACTGGCAGGTGCTGCCTCCCGGGTCTCGAGTTTCTGGGCTGTTTTCACAGAACCAGGGCTCAGGGGCTGTTTAGGGAGTCTCTGAGTTAACATCTGGCTGCCATCATCTTTCTGGGTAAGTTTTCCTATTTGGACACTAGGAAGCTTCATCAAAGTGGGGAGAGAGGGGCAAGTGGGAATCAGATACATGGTACTCCCAGTTCAATCTGGAGACCAGAAAAATAGCAAATAACTTCAAGTATTAATTACTAAATTTTGAGAAAGCATGAAACTAGATAATTATAGAAACCAACACATATGGGGAGAATATAACCAAACATTTAAAAACTGTGAATTTTTTAGAAATGTAGTAACCCAGAAATCATCTAAAAAGTGTTTATCACACACAGATCTGGATAATAGAAAACACATTAAAAACCAAAGCATCTCATTTATCTCAGGGTATTTTAGAGGCAGACAGGTGTTGTGCGTGTTTTTCAATTTTCTTGTTCTGAGCTGGATGTGGTAGCCCCATACCTATAACTTGGAGGCCTGGGCTAGAACATAGCAAATTCAAGGCCAGCCTGGGATACATAGGAAGACCCTGTCTCAAAACAAACAGAAAAAAAAAAGTCTTATTAAATGTAAACACCATAAATGCTTCAAGAACAGCTGGACACCCTGGCCACTTGCTGATTGGAGACTGTGTGCCTCTGTGGGCGGAGGCTTCTGTCTCTTGAGGTGATAGGCTGCTGTCAATTAAAACAATCATCCCCCCGCACCCTTCACACTCTGGGGTCCCTGGTTACAGAAATGCGATTCTCACTGGCTCACTGCCCAGATCCCTGTCTCTACTTACAGGAAGCTGGCATGGCTTCTGCTGTCTAGTGAAGAGGTGGCCTCTGGGCCCTGGGGTCTGGTGTCCTCTCTCTTCCAACCAAGGGAAGGACAAGGGAAGGGAAGACAACTGTAGGAAGTGTATCTGGGGCATTCCCAAGAAGGGGCCTGGATGTTCTGTCCCATTCTCTGTCTGTGCCCTTCTACAAGCTGACAAAATATTCTCCCTCAGGTGTCTGTGATTGTAGTCTGTATGTGTGTTAGTGCATTTGGAGTCCAAAGGACAACCTTGGGCATTGCCCTCAAGGGTTGCCCTACCTCTTATTTATTTTTTTCATTTTGTTTCGTTTTTTGTTTTTTGACACAGAACCTCTCACTGGCCTGGTCCTCCCCAAGGAGGATAAACTGGCCGGCCAGTGTCGGGAGGAGTCTGCCTATTTCCACCTCCCCATCACTGGGATTACAGACACATCCCCATGCTGGTCCATTTCCTGCAGGTTCTGTGGCTGGAACTCTGGTCCTGCTCTGGCACAGCCGGTGCTTCACTGGCTAGGCCATCTCCCCAGTCCCAGACATCTGTATTCGAGAACCCCAGCAGCAGGGTTTCCCATGGTCTCCTTGGTAGAGGCAGCTAGAGCTAGGATGACATTGAAATCTGCGCCAGCCCAGTACAAAGCAGGCCGTGTAAGAGGCGTGCTTCTGTCCGGACTCGCCGTGGTTCTGTCTGACTTGAGTGAGCGTCTGTGTTGCAGGCTCTTGAAACAGTACAGCCTGGACGGCAGTGCCACGGTGGACTACAACACCTTCCTGAAGAACCTCAGTGTAAGCAACGACACGAACTTCAGATACCTACTGTCCAATCCAGGTAAAGACCTTCCCGAGCGTGTCGCTAAGGGCTGTAATGTCTCTTTTCTTCCCTACGGAAATGCATCCCGGTATGAAAAAAGGTATCCACCACAGAGATACCCATGATGTCATTATTTTAAAAGAACGTGAAGGCTGAATGAAAGAAGAGGGCTGGGGCTGAACAGTGGTTAAGGGCACACACTGCTTTTACAGAGAAGCCAAATTCTGTTCCCGGAACCCATGCCAGGCGCCTCATACCTGCCTGTAACGCCTGCTCCAAGGGACCTGATGCTCTCTTCTGGCTTCTGTGGGCACCTGCACTTGCATGGGCACCTGCACATGTGTACACACACACACACACACACACACGTACACACACATGTACACACACAGACACACGTACACACACACACACACACACACACACACACACACACACACACACACAAAAAGGAGAGGAACTAAGGGAGTCCAGCGCCCACACATCTGGCAACTGATCTCCACAATGGAAATGTGTATGGGGTCAATACACATCTGGGACCTGGACATCCCCTGAACTCACAGACTGTCCTTACATGAGATCCTCTGGCTGCAGTTTGTTCTTATTTCTGCTGCTTCTGAACTTCAAAGAGTTTGGATGGTGAAGCCTGTTTTGTAAATGAGGAAGAAATCAACTCAAGAGGACTGAGTAGAGGAGCTTGCGGCTGTCTTGGAGCTGTGGATGCAAGCTTTCCCGTGACAGTCTTTATCTTAGCCTCAGTAACGTGGTGCCTGGAGCTGTCCAGATGGTGGCGGTTCTCAACAGAGCTGGGGCCCATTTCTTTAGGGAGAGTGTTTGAGTCACATAACTGGACACTCGGGTCTCTTGGACATTCTTCTCAGTCCCCTGACTTAGGGTCACCCCCTGCGACTGGTTTCTTTAACACCTGTCCTCATTGTCTGGTTTTGCCTTGATGCCGCTCTGCAAATCCCCTCAGGGCACATCTACGACTCTTGGTGCTGCCTTCCCAGCAAGTCAAGAGGCTGCTGTTCTCAGGCTCCGGGCTGGCTCTGCTAACCCAGGTTGCCAGGAGCAGGTTCCAGGTCTCTACTCTTTGGACACAGGTGCCAGGCACGCTGCTGAGCATGGTTTTGTCATCACCTCTTTTCATTCCCTGCAGCCCTACTGGGCAAGTGCAGCCACACCAAAGGCTGCGGTAAGCCACCAAACCAGTGTGGCACTACTCAGAAGTAAGCACTGTCATCCTCACCCTGGCATCGACCCATGCTTTGGATAAAAATGAGTGATTGCAGGGGAATGCTCGCAAAGATTAGCTCACTGGCCGTTTTACAAGAATTTTCTGTCATTTGGGAGCATCAGCAGAATAGGAATCACAGGGAAACTCAAGGAAGCCATGTTTCCATCATGGCTGGATGTAATAACTGAGAGTGACGAGCGTCTCTTTCAGAAGGCCACCTGCTCTGATCCCTGGCCCCTGTCTGTGAAGCCCGAGGCCTGCTTACTCCCCCGTCTTGGTGATGGGTGGCTCTCCCCACCTGCCTGAAGAACTTCGCAGCAAGTTTCTGTAGCAGAGCAGGGGATGTCTATCATTGAGGCTTCTGCAGCAGTTTTCTAGAATACCGTGCATTTTCTGTTTGCAAATTCAACTCTTCAAAGATTCGTTGTTGTTGTTGTTGTTATTGTTTTTAGTAGTTTGGTTTATGTTTTAGTAAGTCTTGTTTAGGGCATGAGGGGTACAAGTCATCCTTATGTTGGGCCGTCTCTACTATCTATGTCTCTGCATTCTTTCATGAGCTTATTCTCCAGTTTTTCTGCTGTCTTTCCCATGGGCGTCCAACGCCTTCACCTACAATCCAGCTCTTGCCACGGTCCAGCTTATCTCTGGCACTTCTAACTGGCTTACCAGTTCTCCTCCAGTTTGTGGTGTCACCTTCCACCTCATTTTAAAGCTACCCTCATGTCACCAAGTCCTTGTTTTACTGATTTGCATTCTCAGCCAGATCACCTGTAAAGCACTTTTCATGTCTTCCTTGGCGTGGTCCTGGTCTTTCCTGCGCCATATTATTCTCTCTCTGTCGCCTCTTCTCTCCATAGTGCTTGCACGGATTGCAAGGCACTTGGGTGAGTTAAGTGTATTTTATCCCACTCCACTTCTTATGCTGCAATGTTTCACTCACTTATTTGTGCTTGTTCCAGGGTTTCTTTTAGACACCTTTATTAATCAGAATCTGCTTTTCACTAGCATGAGCTGAGTTTGTGAGGAAGGGACTTCACGGTGGCGGCAGACTGTTGGATCTCTCACATCACCCTTTTGCAAAGGGCTCACACTCAGGACATTGTTTGGCTTCTGTCCCACAGAGGTAGTCTCAAACACTGTTTAGAAATTCAAATAATGTTCAAGTCCTTTAAAGCTAGTCGATTCTGAATCTAGTTAAGTTGATTAATCATCACAAGTATATACCTTGTCACGCTGATACCCAAACACATGGCTTTGAAATCATAATATTCCATCCTAGCCTCAAAAGAGCATGATCATCTCATACTACAATCCATTGTTCATTCAGCCCAACTTTAGAAGGCCCCGTAATCCTTAACATCCCTAACATTGCTCAAAAGTCCAGTCTAAGGCCACTGAGATGGATCATTTGGTAAAAGCATCTTCTACAAGCTTGATAATCTCGTTCAGTCTCTGGGACCCACATGGTAGAAAGAGAGAACTCCTCTCTCTCTCTCTCTCTCTCTCTCTCTCTCTCTCTCTCTCTCTCTCTCTC